TCTCTCTCTCTCTCTCTCTCTCTCTCTCTCTCTCTCTCTCTCTCCCTCCCTCTCTCTCTCTCTGTTTTTTTGAGACAGGGTTGGAGCATGTCTCCTAAAGTGACCTTTGGCAGCTGTGTATAGACTATGTAGTTACTTAGCAGCTCACCAGGATGCTGCCTGAGTGCATCCTGCCAGGTGACAAGGGCCAGCATAATGTCTGAATCCTAACAATGACTCCAGTGATATTCTGTTATACTCATAGATCAGTGCCTTCTTCAGCCATCATTATAGAAGCTTCACCGGCAACAAATGGGAAGAAATAAAGAGGCCAACAGCCAGAGATTATGCAGAGAGTAAGTAAAAAACAGTGAAGAACTCAGACTTAAATGGGATGTTTCCTTAAATTTTCCCTTCAGGTCTCATGGAACCTGATGGAAGAAGAAACAGAAACAATGTAAGAGCCAGGGGTGATGAAGGACACCAAGAAATTAAGGACCTCTAAATCAAAATGAGAATACCTCATGAACACTCACAGGGACTGAAGTGGTATGATCTGGTTCTACATGTGTCTGCACCAGGTCTTGTGCACATGTGTATATTATGATTTTCAGTTAAGTATTATTATGGGATTGCTGAGTATATGAACAAACTGACTCTTTGGCCTTCCCTTGTGCTTTCTTCATTCTGTTGCTTTGTCTTGGAAAACCTCATGTGAAAGGTTTTTTTTTTCATATTCATATTAAGAATGAATGAATGACTGAACAGGAACCTAGACACTAGGGTAAAGCTCAAAAAAATTATATTTAATATTAGAATATGTATCACCACACCACAACTCTGCTTCCTCCACGCATCACTGCCTGTGGTTTATTTGCTGGACTCATCAGACGACTCCACTGAGAATGTGTCTGTTACCAGACTGGAGATTGAATTCTTAATATAAGTTTAAAATATAATTATTAATTATTTGATAATATTTGCACTTTTTACATTACAAATCCTACCATTGTTTGCCATATGTCCTAGGTAAGTGGATAAGGAGCTGATTATTATAAAACAGAATAATTTCCATGACTTTTACCATACAGATAAGTATTTAACTTTTGTCATTTTATTAATATTTTCATAAATAGGTTAACTTTAAATTATTATATCCCCATCAAGTACACAGTAAAACTTTCCATCTAAAACAGTATTACTTAGAGCTGCTCATCGCTTAACACCAAGTCAGTATCAGAATTTTAACTCCAACTCACTGCTTTCAGTTCTCTTTTTAATGATCCAACTGGTAGAAAATTTGTTTTCCATTTAATCATAGGAGTCTTTCAGAGGTCTATAGGATACAAGTAATATATCGTCCAAAGAATTTACAGTTGAGCTGGCTTCCCTAACATGTCTGTGGATGAGAAAAATAATGAAAACATCTTTTCCCTGACACAAAGAAAAGAAAAATACTACATAGAAATCTTAGCTTCAGAAACTTGGCATTTCAGATTTGGAGCAAAAAAATAAAAAAAAAAAAAGATTGTCCAGGAAAAGGTTATTTTGTTTTTAGGATGTCCATGAATTTTTTTCTCTTGAGAATTCTTTCTACACTCTTTTTGTCAATTCTCCTTAGGGTACTGTACTATTTAGGATATTTTTGCAAAGAAACTGCCAACTATACTTGCCATACTCAATTTTATATCTGTTCTACCAAAGGGCGTATTTGGGGAGAAAACTTTCAACATAAATAGTAGAACTTTTTAAAGGATAATGATAAAACAAGTTTGAGTGGCACAAATAAATCCAAATATTTACTATAACAATTTTGTGATTAGGTGCTGCAAAATTTGAAAATAAATTCTAATTCATATCATGTAACTACATTTAAATTATTATCTAATATATTGGGCTGTATTTATAAAGAAAATCATGATTCTCTTAAAATTCAATATTGCAAAAGTTTTGAAAATGAACAGTAATTTTTGAATAGTTGCTTATGTGTATGTGTCTATAAAACCACTTAGAAATTTACAATCTAAAAGTAGATATATACATGTATACATATATTCACGCAAAAACAAGTGAAATAATTTAAAGAAATGTGGGAAGGTTTAAGGGGGTAAGAAGAAAGGGAGAAAGTGTTCTTGAATATACATATTCAACAGATCAAATAGTCTTGTGTTTAGTATATTTCGTTAAGGGTACTATTTCTCTAGTTCATCATTATGTCCTTTTTGCCCTAGTATGAGCATTTCTGTTTTTCCTTCCTCTGTTTCCATTCTGCCTCCATCTCCTTAGGACTTCCTCTTTCAGTTTCATTTCTTCTCTTTTCCTTACTATTACCACACAAGCAAAGGTGTGCAATTTTTCTTTAAATAGCATGCTATTTCATTTAATGATGTCAAGACATATGTAATTGTTTTACAATAACACAATTTAATTCATCTTCAGGACAGAGAAAAGTTCCTTTTATATTTTTATTATACACATTCTAGTGCATATGATGTAGTTTTTTCTTTAACATTTTTTTTGAAAAAATTTATTGAGTAAACCTCTCTGTCACTTTTAGTAACCTGTACATTTTTATTGGCAAAATGCTTGCAGATTTCTGCTAACTTGTGATGTTATTTATTTTATTAAAAAGATATAAGTGCTTTTTTATTATACATGGGCTTTACAATATTTTTTTTTTCAATCTGATTTTAGTAGCTAACCTGTTTATTATTTTATTAAGGAGGTGGCCTCTTTATCATAATATTTGAAAATATAATTAATTAAAGCCCACCTGTCATCACTTTGGGGTAGTATGTGTGGGTGGGTTAATGCATATGTGTATGATAATACATAATGCATGAAAAAGTAGAGTAAAACTTATAAGGGTAATATTTAAGATTGCAAAGATTTTTGTGGTTATTCACTGCAGTTTATTTAGTTTCAAAGGTAGCCTCTGATATAAAATAATTTTATAACTTAACGTTTTAAAACTGAGCACGACATAACATTTTAAATCTGTAATATAATCCAATTATTTGATTTCTAATGTTCTACTATCTTTTCCTCTGTGTAACCCTTATTTCCCAAATGATTAAAACCAAAATATTCATGAATTGCAACTGACTAATTCCACGTATTTAAAAGATGGGCTAAACATAATTTGAAGTACTGAAAGATCCATCAGTATTTCAGGTAGGTACCATGCATGTCAATACATATCTGATAACATTTAACGCTGTAGTTCACTTGCAAAATTAACTATATTTTAACAATATAATTCACAAACTATGGCAGAAATCAAACAATTTTGCATATTAAAAGGTCATTTATTATATGCAATTTGGAAAGAAATGATTTAAATAATATCTCTCCAAAACTGATGAGAAAAATGGTAAAATGTTTCATCATCCAATAATTATTGCAAAAATATTAACATTAAAGTTGAATTATTTATTAGAACTTAAACAAGTTCTTAAAGGGTGAATTTAATGGAACAGAGCATGATACTATGTAGCTAAATTAAATTTTGCTTTATAAATATGAATTATAAACATTAATTAGAATCTTTTACTTTGAATAATGCAAGATATTTCTGAAGAAAAACTTTTTTAAATCAGTTCATATGATGTTCATTCAATCTAACATTCCTCAGTTAACATTTTTGAACAAGATTTCTTAAAGCAATGATCATATATATATGTATATATGTGTGTGTGTGTGTGTGTGTTTTGTGGTACGTATTTATTTTGTTTTCTAAAGAAAACATAATTTTTCAATTGTGAGTGTTTCCTTTTAATACAAATAGCTGAAACTATATCATAGACATACTTTGAAAAATTTGATATATACATATATGTCTTCATTGTGAAATAAAATGCTACCAATTAATTCTTGTAAAGCACATTACTAATGAGTCACATAAGTGATTATTTTTTCCTTAAGAGTCATTCATTTAATATCCCATATTGATTAAAACACTTATATGTGGCAGTAAAACAATGATTGAATATTACAAAAAATATATATGACTGAAACTTGTTCATAGATTTTATATTAAATATACAATTGTTTTAATATGGGAATTTCTTTATTTCTGTTCAAAATGATCTCTTGTTACAGAAAGACAGCACTAAAAACATGATTTGGAGTAGAAATGACTTGAAACCACCATTAGAGGGCAGCACCTAACTAGGGAAAGAGGCACTTCACATGTATTCAGCAGTTTGAACAGATATCACAATGATTTTACCTAGAAATCAAACTTTATAGCCTGTTAGTTATCAAGCCACATTTGCAAATTCACAAAAGTCTAAATAACAACTTCTCATATAAATCAAGTATTATAATTTTCAGAAAGACATATTTTATTTTCTGTGACCAGCTGTCAGAGTTATGCATTCTTTGCCAATTAATATTGAATTAAAATAAAACGTATTTTTATTATTTCAAGTGAAGTAATATAGAGTAATTATAATAATCATGTAAATGTTTTATAAAAGATTATTTCATGTTTAATTTTAATTGCATTGCTAGGAAGGGGGTTCAAATAGAAAATAGGGATGTTATTATTTTGAAAATGAAATGGCAGTAGGCTTTTAATTCATACGTCTGAAAGTATGCTATTTGTATCATGTGCCTTCAACAGGAACCTCTCAAGGTTAAGCACTTGTGACCTGTTTTAAAAAATTTGTTGAGCATATTACTCATGTTAATGAAACATCATCGCATTGTTACTTGATTTTCTATTGGAATATCCTATATAAATGCATAGGCATAGAATTAAGAAGCATTTGTGGAAGAATTGATTTCCATGTATCTCTTGTAAATGATAATCTTTTACAGAGTGATGTTGGGACTAATTGAGTCCTGGTTTTCAGATGCTCTTCCCGGTCTAGAGCCTTCTAATTGAAGTTACTAGAAGCTGTGCCTAGCTTAGAGGATCAGAGGATGGGATTTTCACCTGTTGGCTGTTGACTTCAGGATACTTAAGTCTCCATAGTGCTATTAAAGAGGGGTTTTTGGTACCAGCGTTGGAAGGTCTGTGTGTCGGTTTGTCTGCGTGTGTATTCCTCAACCTCCAGCTCCTTGCCCGAAGCTCGTGGACTGGGTTCTAGCGCATAGAGCGCAGACAGGGGCTGCAGTGCTCTGCAGAATAAGTATTTGAAAACTATATATTTAGGGTAATGAAAATCGGGCTTCAATAAAACTGGCGGTGAGCGCTATGTACTTGTTGTACTACTTTACAAATATGTGGTTTTCGCATGTGGAGTGATTTATGCATATAATGAGTGAATATCAGTGAATTCTGAAAACTGCTATGGAATACTGATGTTATTACTGAAAGTATGTACTAATTTGTCAAAGAATGCCCACTTATGCTATTTTTCTGAAAAAGGGACAAGGGGCAGAGATGACATACTTTTCATAATTTGGACTTAATGATTGTTTTTTATAACATTAAAAATGTTAATATTTCCTTAAGACAGTATAATCAGTAATAGCAATGTTTTCTTCTTTTATACTTAATGTTTTCTTTTGAAATAGTGATAAAAAAGTTCTTTTTCAAAGCTTATACCTCCTGAAATCATTAGGCAAATTACCTAA